GAGAGAGAGAGAGAAAATGACAAAAAAAAATGACTAGTAGCTCTGTCAAAGGGGTGTTCACTAGCTGACCTGCCGGCTCCCGGCGAAGGGCGCTTTAGCGCAGTCCGGCACGTCCCTTGGGTCCCTTGTGATTACGAATAGGTCCCCGTTCTATTACAACCAGGAACAAAGGCGCCTTTCGCGGCCTAGATATGATGCAATTTCTGCAGTCGGAGCAAGAAGGATGGAATGACGATGGGAAATGGGGAACAGCGCGTGGAGGCGAGAACTTTGGTGCTTCTGATTGTTTTTAGCCAGCCTGAGACGATCCCAGACGCAAGCGAGCAGCAAGTGCTTCGCAACCTCCTCAGATCTAGATATTTATATCCAACTGCCGTCGACAAGTGTCTTTTCCTTGTGTGACGGGCAAAAAAATAAACCCTCAGCGGATATTGTAGCGAGTCTCGGTGGCGAGAGCGCTCAATGTCCAGCAAAGGCAGCCACCAGCATATGGTGGCGCCCTGGTTCCAACGCCGAAAACCCCCTCCCCGTAAATAAGCCATTCCATGCCCAAGCCACATCTGTGGCGGCTGATATCATTCGGGTGTTCCATGCGCACATTCTCCCGGGCCCAACAAATAAAGGAGAGAAAAAATAAGAAGCCAATCCTGGTGCCCGGGGAGAAAAAAAAAAGGGCAGACATGGCTACTGGGTAGCTCCGCCAGAGGTGTTTATCTCATGATACAAGAGCAAGGAATCCTGTCGGCCCCCAAGTGTAGAGGGCCGCGAGGGTCGACCCAAAAGAGACGCCTCGTGAGGAAAGAAACAGAAGAAAAGGTGTTGGTGGATAACCGTTCCAATCTTGATAACCCAGAGAAGAGAATAGAAAAACAGAAACTTTTTGGAGGATGATGCTGTGCTCCGATGCGATGCCCATTTTCTTGTTACAACAAAGGAAAGAAAAAAAAGAGTATGTGTTTAGTTGACGTCGTGTTGAGGTGGGAGTTCGTTTCGTAGAGTAGGGTGGGTGTCCGCGACGGGAGCTGGTAATAGTAGGTGATGTTGCCATCAATGGCCTCGTAGGGTGAAATAGGACCTCGAGAGCGATCGCGGCGTCATCGTGTGTATTGTGTATGTGTGTATATGTGGGGTGTGTTTAGTATGACCGGCGGCGTTGCAACCGAACCTGCTCAAAGGTGCTGGCGTAGGCCCGGAGCTCCCTCCTGGCCTTCTCGGAGAGCTGGTGCGCTTCGTTGGATGCCCTCGCGGCGTTGCTGCTGCCCATGGAGGACAGGCTGGAGTGGGAGCTCGAGGGTGAGAGCGGGCGGGCCGAGGACCGGGCCGAGGACTGGGAGAGGAAGTCGAGGGCGGGCGAGAGGTAGAGGCCAGAGGCGTGAGACGAGGAGCTCGAGGAGCCCCAGGCGTGGTGCGGACCGGGAAGTGCTGGTGAGCTCGCGCCCGAGCTGGCGGCGGAGGACGTCTTCTCGTAGTCGGCCAGGCGGCAGGACTCTGAGCAGTAGGTGGCACCGTCTGTCTGCTTGTCACAGGCCAGGCAGAACTGGTGGTCCCACTGGATGTCGAGAGCCATTGTGTCGGTTGTGTGTGTTCGACGCGGGGTCGATGGTGTTTGTGGTTTGTTTGTGGTTGGCAAAGAGCGGGCTGCGCGGGTTGCTGGCCGTTGACTTCTGTCGAATGTGTCGAGAAGAAAAAAAGGTGGTATGGGGTCGACTGTGTGAACAGGCGGTATATGGCTGGGAATCAGGGCGATTAAAAAGCTTTTGAGGTTCCAATTGCGTTCGAGTGAGTCTTTGCTGTGAGAGAAAAGGCAGTGCCGAACCAAGATCCAGACCGGTGGCAGCGTGTATGAGGTGGTGAGATGGGGAGGGCCAAGTCGGAGAGGCAGAAGTTGGGAAGGCGAAGCTGCATCTTTTGTATATCGACGTTTGGAGAGCAGGCAGGCAGGCAGTTCTGCACCAGGGCCTGTATCCGCAGGTACCCAATGGGCAAGAAGGCACCAGTCCAGGGGGGTGTGGTACCGACAGGGAATCAGCTGGCTGGGGGCGGCCACGAAAAAAAGAGGACCTGATAAAGAGGGCCTGATGACCACACACGGCGAGGACCCACAGCACCCTACAGGGGTGTTGGGTGAGAGAGAGGCAAAGAGAAAAAGAAAGAATAAAGAAAAGAAAAAAAGTTGAAAAATTGATGCAGAACAAGGGAAGACGTGGGCTAGCGCGACGCCTAGGTACCCGAAGCACCAGGGATTGTGTTGTCATTCTCGCTGATCAAATGGCGCGAGGGGCTACCAGCCGGGGGATGTACTGACAGGGGGGTCAGCCAGCCAGCCCGGCCCACCCCAGCAGGGTCGGCCAACCCCAGGCTTACCAGCATGGACAAAATAAAACGTCTCGAGAAGCGGTTGGCGGAAGAGCGGGAGAAGCTGGAAAGGCGAGAAGGCGAACAACAAGCCGAGGCAAAGCAAAAAGAGAGTCAACGTTTGGAACGATTAATTACCAAAGCTTTGTCACGCGCTACAGATTCTAAAAATCCAAGCGTCCCCGATTACCCTAGCAACCTGCGAAGCTTCGCCCAAGCCCGGTACAGGCACTCTATCCGACACCTCAGCCTACCTGCCTTAGTTTTTGCTTCTCGGCATATTCCCTATAACACATGGCAAGATCTAGAAAGGCATCGCCCTGAACTATTCTCATCCACCGTGGGGAAGCTAAATGGCAAATGCAAAGTGTTGCTTAAAAGTCAATGGCCATTCTGGTACCAAACACTTGCCGAGCCCGCACAGGCGGACCCTGCTGAGCCCGAACAGGCGGACCTTCGCGTCCCTAAGCTGGCTACGTTGTTCCTCACTGGTAAAATAACCCTTTCTTTTACAATTACCGCAACACGCTAATCAATCTCTAGAACTCCTCGTTCACAAACATTCCGGGGATATTAATTATCTTTCGGCACACATCCAACAGTTTTACCAGCCTGATCAGAATCAGCAGCCTAACCTAGGCTCTACAGCCAATAGCACCTGGAGGCAAGACGCGCAACCAGCTGCTTTAGACGCAGACGGAACTCTCTTTTCGACCGAGGAGTTCCAAGCTCGGAAGCGACAACGCTTAAATCCCCCCCAAGATTTCCAGCCAACCACGGCCAAGGCGGACCACCCGCACTTATCATCCCCGTCCGTTCGCGCGGTCGGCATCCAACCGACTGACCCCACGGTCCATGAGGCCCTGCAGGCGCCTTGGGGGGTTAACTCGGCCTCCAATGCCGACGTAGTCTCACCGGGACACAACTTTGGTGCGTACACACATTATCCCCTTACGAACGCCTACTACCGATTTTAATGGAATACAACTAAGATATATCATTTTTTGCAGGGCTTCAATCTGGTACGGCTACGACTGCGCTCCCTCCCGTCGCAAATCCTCTGGCGAACAACGAGCCCCTTGGCGAGGTACTACCGCAAAGTCCACCGAGAAAGGCAAAATTTTATGCCATCCACCCGGATCTGGTATCGAAGGAGGTGTCTTCCTGCCTCCGCCTCGTCGTCCCTGATGCCGCCCATGAACAAGCTTTGATAACCGGAACCGCCTATATCGATAACGCGTATCGCGATTTCCTTATTGGCCATAATTCAAGTGTGTTGTTTTTGCAAGGAGATGTGGAGGTCAACAAGGACGAGGACGGGAGTCTGATGCGGGACATGACCGCGTTAGCCGATGCCGGAGTAGGCCCCATTCCCGCAACGTCATAGATGCACCACCCGGGAAGGCACAAGCATCAGAGAAGGGTTTTATGCACTATGTAAAGGGACGGTGGCGCAGCTGCTGACCATCGGGTCATGGGATCAATTCGAGCCAATTGTATTGATACTTAAAAGGCGCGGGTTACCATTTGCTGGATTTAACCGTCCGCTCTTGTCCGATTTTTTTTAATGACTCGCAGTGTTTCGAGTTTATCCGAAAATTTGACAGATCTCGAAATCACATGTGCGGGGTTTTTTTTTCTGGATATATTTATCCCGCCCTTCCCGAGCTGGCTTTTGCATCCGCATTTACAAATTCACGGACGGTAGCAGCGATCTGTCTGTTCGGAATAATGGCAAACATCTGCCTTGCAAGTTGCGACTCCTTGGACATTCCCCTCGACGATAAGCTTTTTGAGCGCGCCACATCGATGTAAGTACCCCCATCTTACATTTAATGAACATTCACCAACTCGGATTAGATACAACAATCTCCCAGAAGTATTGACACAGCCATCCATCGACGAACATCTAAATTTTTTCGGCAATCTTGTTCTTTCCCATGGTGTGCAGGATGTCATTGGCTTCCACCTGCCTCATAGCCATTATCCCATTCCCGACAACACCATCCTGCTTGGGACCAATATCAATGTCCAAGGAACGAACGTCGAAGCCCTTATACGCCGCTGGGCCAAGCCCACTCCCATAGAGGACGTGCGCGGCAAGCAGATCCACGGACATATTTACGTCGTCAGATCAGATGGCTCCCTCCACCCCTACGAATTCCAGCTCGGCCATGCTCCAGATCTTTCTGGAATCGACCTTAGCCATTTCCTTCGAGACTTCGCCAAAGCCGTGAAGGAAAAAGGGCTACAGAAATTAATTGCGCTCGAAGTCCTCGATCCCGAAAACACTGACCGAACACTGTATGAATTCATCGTCAATCGGGTCAACCATGTTCTGGTCGATGCGTCAATGGCAAAGGAGTTGGTGCAAACTCGGACAACTGGCTGGACAATTAAAGGCGAAGGGAATGGAGGGGTTCGCGTTCTGAAGAACACAGCTTACGCTCCACCCAAGGAGAAAGGGGACAGCCATATAGTTTACACCGATGGGAAACCGGATGCAAAACTGGAAACCGTTTCGGAGTTGGCGAGAGCGCTTGCGCACGTCACGGGTAATTAGGTTTGTAGACTAGCGAAAGCACCGATCGGTAAGGTTAGCACGCCTTTTGTTGCGCGATTATAATTGACTATCTTGTATCGATCAGCTAATATTTGTGCAGTTCAAGGCGGGGCAATGTTGTCGGGAGGACGGGCACCGGGCTCGACATCTCGTGGATCGCAAGGGTACCCCGCATTTGCAAAGGGCCGGGAGCTAGATAAAATCGTATTTGGCACATGCAGCAGCAGATCTACGTGATTTCCAAGGGAATCGACTAATCAGTTTACTTTGGTTCAACCTCCACAGCTGCTAACACGGGTGAATGGGCGATGAATCTCAGGAGATTCGTAGGGAAATGCCCGCACAAGACCTGGAAAGCAGCCACATGCCCCGACGCAAGCCCAATCCATCCCAAACGTGGCCGCCTTTTGGTTGCTGGCTGTGGTTACAGTGTACTGTGGAGGGGAGATCTATACAAATGTGGTGAAGAAGTGAAACAGGTGCTAATATTAGCTACCGAAAAATACTGCAGCAGACACGGCCCCTCACACTTCTCCTTGCCATGCCTGCGGGATACGGGCACTGAAATAAGAGGCGCAGAAGCGTGATGTGCGCTCTCCTGCCAGAGCCACCGGGATTGGGAGCCCGGGGCGGCGTGGGCCACTTTGAGCGTCGCGCCGAACGTGCGCTGTTTTCGTCACGCCCGAATCCGACGCCGCTTGGTCAATTGGTGCGGGGAAAGCGTCGAGCGCAAAATGTGCTGCTTTATGCTAAAGATAAACGACTACTCGTCCCGCTGGGTACTTACCCCGAAACTGAACGGTGGTTAGTGGCAATACAGTGTGGGACTGCCAGCGACGTCAACCTCTGCATTTTCTGGAAGTTGTCACCCCGGCAGGGATGTATACGCTCAAAACAATTGCTGCTCCTGAACGGGTTGCCCCCGAGCTCCAGCTGCATAAAAAGAGGTTGGGTGGCTGGAGCAATGTTTACGCTAACGCTCACTGAGCTGACCTTCTGGGGAGTGATTGGATGGATTTCCCGAAGTGTGAAGGTGTATGATTTGGAAGGTACTGTGCAGCTGGCTGGCTGCAATCCGGAGACCGTGGTAAGCACGCAGGCTCCTCGTACCAATCGGCAACGATCGCATTAGGCGCAAACGGGAAGGGGTTATCTGCAGCCCCCAGCCCCCAGTGTCAGGTTGCCCTGGGCGGGTTCCGGGCCCTGCCCTAAATGCATACCTATTGACCAGACCCTAGGTCCACTTTTATCCGCATTCGTTCAGACCCGCTTCAGGGCTGGTTCACAATTCACGCCCCTCGATGAAGCTCTGCTGCTTGTGAGGAGGCTAATGGTAATTGGACGCCAGGTTTTCAACCGGAGACACCCCTTCGCGAGGCCAAATGCTGTATGGATCAGCGGTACGGAGCGCCAGACGTGGCTTGGTGGTTGCAGGGGCCGGTACGGAATATCCCAAATGAAAAGAGCAGCGGGCGCGGAAAGTCGCGAAAAAATGGAAATGACTTGGAACGCGTTGCAGTCTGTAAACCACCGCTAAACACCACCATGCCGAGCGTATCTCTCTCCTGTTTTTGTTGATTTATCTTTTCATCCGGTGGACACCGCCGCATAACCGACTGCGACAGCAGAACCGCTTTTTTAGGAGTTTCCCGGCCTTGGTTCTACCGCTGCTACTGTTGCAGACCTTTGCACCTTTGTCGCCCCCTGTTGGGACAGAAGCACGACAGGCCACTCCCCATATCCTTCCGCCGACCAAAATAGCCTCACAATTGTTTACAAAGAAGATGGCGACCTCGAAGAATAGGGTAAATTGTACTTTTTGCAACGAGCGTGTCTTCGCGGAGAAAGCAAAGCCCGCTTTTCTCATCTGGTCACCATTAACCCGCCTTCCCTAAAAGGGTTGAACAATAGAAACCCGACTCCCCATTATTACCGCGCCCGTCCTTTCTATTTAAAACAAGCATATAAAAATGTTAGAAAAGACAACACTATCAGACTTTCCCCACCCTTCTTGCCCCTGCTCCTACGTTTCCGTCCTTCCTCGCTCCTGCGTCCCCGTCTTTCTTCGCCCCGGCGTTCCCATCCTTCCTCGCCCCTGCTCCTGGGTCCCCGTCTTTCCTCGTCCCTGAGTCCCCGTCTTTCCTCGTCCCTGGGTCCCCGTTCTTCTCCGCCCTTTTCGCCCCTGCTTTGTTTTCGTTTGTGATCACTCTTTTCGGGCTGCACAAATCGGACACGAGACCCACTGCGCGGTTTCCGATCCGGCTCCGGTTTTTCGCCCACGGCTGGAGATTATGGTGGGGTATGGTCGGATTCATCGTCTTCGACCGTCGCTGCGCGTGGCGGCATCGTGGTAGAAAAAGGTAAAGTCTGCTGAGTCCAAGTATGGCTGGCATATGTCGTGCGTAGGAGTTGCAGCGACTTGCGAAAGACGGGAAACATCGGTGGGAGGGCGACTGCCGCGGTTTTTTATAAGCGATTTGCAAGGCTTTGTGACGGGGCGTAAAGCGGCAGAGCCGCGTTCCTTCTGTTAGCAACAGTCCGCAAGGGAAACTCACCGAATATGCGGGCTGCCTTGCGGAAGATCAACGCCCGGCTGACTACCCCGGCGTCCACCATGCCCGGGCGTGCAAGAGGTCACACTATCTTGAATTTTCACATGAATAATGGCGGGCAGCTGCCTCGCCCAGCTTGGTAGATACGGGAGCCCGCCCCTAAGCCACAGCGAGTGAGAGCCTTATGTATTGGTATATATATCTTGAACCTTTGGCGGGCTGCCTAACGGGCAACGGTTTCCATCTATGCGCGTCCAAGCAGCAGGTGAAGGCACATGCCCAAGCGTCAGCAACGCCGTCGTTGCTATCGTTTTCTCCAAATAGCAGCCATGCCGTGGATTTCGGCTTGTAGATTGGCACGGCTGTCCAAATTAGGAGGCTGAACTTTTTATTAGCTACGAGGATAGCTTACTGCTATCGAAAGCTCCTTCTCGGCAACTTGGATACCTCAAACGAGTGCATGTAGGACTGAACCGTCGCAGTCCCCCAGCCACCCTTGGCGCTCCAACTCAAAAGGTGTCTTTCGCCCCGCCATGTGCAGGATGCATGCGCCCCAATTGGAGGTTGCAACTGGTGTAATTCGGTGTGACTGTTTTGCCAACGGCAGGGTTTTGGGGTGTCGGGATGCGCAAATCATCACCCCCACCACAAAGGTCCGCAGCCTTGTCCAAGCCGGCGACAGCAAGCCGGCGGGCCTTGGGGTGTATTTTGCTTTCTTGCAGCTTTCAGATTCGGGAAACCGCTGTGCAGGCAACCGCCATGCAAGAGACGGTCAGCTTTCACCGACATGTAATGTGTAGCTTGCCCAAATGAAGCATGCAACCGGGGAGTGCGTCGACATCCCATTTTCGGCAAGTGTTACGTGGAAAGGTCTCAGAAAGGCCCCTCATAGGGCCGGAGCCGCATGTGAGTTGGCATTATGGCAAAGCCACATTGGGCATACATATATTTGTTGGCCGACCGCGACGCTTGAAAGTCGCCGCCCTAATCCTGGCCCCTGCATACGCAGCTTCGCAGCCAACTTCTTTTTGTAAACCCACCCCCCGCCACCGTTGCTAGCACCGGCTGCTCTGCCCAACCGTGTACTAGCCCCAAATGCGACAATCCGCCGCGCGAGTCCTGATGGAGTGAATTTACGCCCCGACCGTTTCGGGCATAAACCCGACAACGGGTACGACTGGCGAAATTGCCGAACCTGGACCTATACCTCCTCGAAGTTGCCAGTCACTTCGTATTTCGCAGGTTGCATATGCAGGCCAACGCATGCCTGACGTTAAGGCAGCTGCTTCGAGTAAGGGCGTCGGCCTGGAGAGAGGTTGGGACAGCTGTTGCCGCCTCTGGCTCGAAAGTCAAGCAGTGGCAGTAGGCAGGCTGC